GAGGTGCAGGGGCATGGGGGCAGGGGGTTGATAGTGGAGGGCCTCAGTCACTCAAAACTTTGAGAAAAGGGGTTTTTCCTTTTGGATCCGAGGAGTTGCAGGCCCCAGAGAGTGGAGAAAACTCTCATTGCTTTTTCTATCCCCAGGGCCTCCTGCTACTTGGCCCCAAAAAGTGGGTGCACAACAAAGCCGGGGGACTAAAGCCCCCGCTCTCTGGCCAAAGGACTGTAAAAGGGAGCCCCAGCAATCTAGAAGAACTGGGGGAACAGAGGAGAGGGAAGAGCTCTGAGAACAACCATAACGTTGTTTAGAGCTCCTGGGCTCATCCCTGAGCCTTCCCTGGGGGTCTGACCCTTATCAGCATGCCTTCTGCTGTTTGAGCCGAAGGCCAGGGTGGACCACGGCCTCCATCCCAGACGGCCACTGGGAGGCGCACATGGGCAGTGGACCCGTACAATCTGAGGACAGTTCCCCCTGGGAATTCTAGTCCCAGAAGGCCAGAGGAGGGAATGTGACATCAGAACTGAACCGCCTACTGTGTCAGTCATCAACGTAGTGCCTCTTGGCTCTGAACATAGCCTTCAACGTCTGTGCTGTATGACACACTGTGTTGTTCCTTGAAGTACTTGTCCTTTAAAGTGAACAACCCGTTCAGCTTTCTCAGGGGACAGCACTAGAGGGACAGTACGGTGGAAGGAGTTCTCCTTCCTGTTCTGGTGTGGGCAGGAGGGGGCCAGCACGGGTCTGGGTACACGAGCTGGCCCCAGCCCCAGGCCCAGAACCTGGTCCTTTGCAAATGGACAGCCCTGGCTAGCAAGAAGCTTTCTGCAGTGCTCTCCACCTAGAAAACAGCCCTCGTGGAGCCCCTGTGCTCTGAAGGCTTCCTACGACCCTGGACCCACACTGCATATGTCTGCACCCCTGGTGGCTGGTCAGGTGGCCTTCCACCCTGGGGCGGGGTGGGGTGGGGTGGGGGGCGTGGCCTGTCAGTTGCCCAGCGAGAGACCAGTCTGACCAAACCAGAGGACTACCCTGCTGTCCACTGCACTGAGCTGCAACTTCTAAAACGAGGTTGGAAGCCCTTCCAAGTTTGTCCTTTCTGGAGTCCTCTCTCTCTGCCCTCAGGTGTGAATGGAAAGAGAAAGGACCACCAACAAGAAGTCGGAGATAATGGGGCGCCTGGGTGGCTCAGTGGGTTAAAGCCTCTGCCTTCGGCTCAGGTCATGGTCCCAGGGTCCTGGGATCGAGCCCCGCATCGGGCTCTCTGCTCAGCAGGGAGTCTGCTTCCACCTCTCTCTCTCTCTCTGCCTACTTGTGATCTCTGCCTGTCAAATAAATAAATAAAAAAAAATCTTAAAAAAAAAAAAGAAGTCGGAGATAAAAAGAACTAAATGGCAACTTTAGAAATAAAATAGACAATCCCTGAAATAAAATATTCCCTGGATAGACTCATAAACATAATGGAGATGATGTGGGGAAGGTGTGGGTCATTTGAAGATGGATTGCTGGATATTAAAAATCTGAAAAAAGAGAGGAAAAGAGATGTCTGAAAAAGCCAACGGCCTCAAGAATCTACAAAATGATATTGAAAGGGCTAATATTTGTTTTGTCCGAGTCCCAGAAGAGGGGAGGAAGAGGGCAGTGCAGAAAAAAAAAAATAGTTGGAGAAAAAAAGATGGCTGAAAAATCCCCAAACTCGGCAAAACATAAAACCTCCTGACCAGAGGAGCTAAGGAAATCCCACACGGGATAAACCCAAAGAAACCCATGCCCAGATTTGTCATAATTAAACAGGAAACCCAAAGACAAGGAAAAATTCTCAACAAGTCGTGGGAGAAACGTGACGTGTCACCTTGATGAGACTTATGGTTCCAACTACTGCACCTTTCTTGTGGGAAACCATGGAGGCCAGAAGAAATGGGCAGTGTCTATAAAGCGTTGAAAAGAATTACCTCAGGGTTCGCTATCCAGCAAAAACCATCTTCAGGAGTGAAGGTAGGAAAAAAAAAGGAAAAGAGGAAAAAGAAAAAAAAAGGAGCGAAGGTGAAAAGAAGATATTCAGGTGAAGGGGAACAGAGGTTTTGTCAGCTGAGGTCTCTGTCTGAGGGGACTATTTGGGGGAGTTGTTTAGGCAGAAGGGAAATGCTACCAGAGGGGACATGGGACAATAGGAATGAGGGAGGAGCCACAGATACGGTCCGTATCAGGGTAGATGTGATGGGCTAGCGTCCTCCTCGTGAGTTCTTTAAAAACATTTCAGGATTGGAAGCCCAAAATAGAACACTGACAGATTCAGTGCGTGGGACAATGGCAGCACCGAGGTGAGAGCCTAAGGGACCTCGGTGGTAGTAAGGTTTCCACGTCTCACTCCAAGGGGTAAAATATTGTTTCTGATGGGCTATGAGAAGTGAAGCCAGGAGCTTATCTTCCCTAGGGCAACCATGAAAAAGGGAAGATTACACTGAGAAACAGAGTACAAAACATAATAGAGAAAATAAGTTGAATACTAAAAAGATGTTCAGATAAACACAAAAGGAGGCTGAATAGTGTAAAGAGAAAACAAAAGAGGAGTCCAGCAGAAAATGGGTAATAAGTGAATTTAGACCTAAATGCAAAGTATCAGTAATTATGGTTAATGTAAGTTGCTCAAATACACCAATTAAAAGACGTTGTTGGAATGTGTGAAATAAATGATCCAACAAGATTCTGTCAACAGGGGCTCCAGGCTGGATATGACTATTGATCTCAGGGTTGTGAGTTCAAGCCCCACAGTGAGTATGGAGCCTACTTAAAAAAAAAAAAAAGTAAAAGGTTCTGTCTACAAAATCTCACACCAAATATAACCATATAATTAGGTTAAAAATAAAAGGATGGAATCGAAGAACATTTGCGAATCATGTATCAGACAAAAGACCCGTGCTTAGGACATAGAAAGAACTATTACAAGTCAACAATTAAAAAGACAAATGGCCCAATTTAAAACTTGGCAAAGAATCTGAATAGACATTTCTCCCAAGAAGGTATAAAAATGGTCAATAAGTACATAAAAAGATGTTCAGTCAACCTCATTAGCTGTCAGGGAGATGCAAATCGAAACCACTAGAGACCACTGCCCCCACCTACTGGGACGGCCATGGTGGGAGAGAGTGGAAGAACGAGAGTGGAGAGGATGTGGAGACACCAGAACCCTCATGCTCGGCTGTCAGGGCAGGAAAATGAGGCTGCTGTTTTGGGGAAACAGTCCAGCAGTTCCTGAAAAGGTTAAATAGAGTTACAGGACCTTCCAATGCCTCTCCCATGTTATTGACCCCAGAGAATTGAAAACATAGGTCCGCACAAAAAGGTGCATCTCTTGTACCTTTGCCAGAAATCTCCTTGAGGTAAAAGGATTTTAAGGCAGACAAAAGACAGTCCCAGATGTCAGAAATGAAGGGAAAGATGGAAGTAAACTGGGGCCAGCATTTTCAGCTTGTTAGACGAAAATGATGGCTCTCCAGCCTTCCACTGCGCAGACAGAAGCCAGTTCTCCCGCTCAGCCTGGCAAGCCCTTCATGGGGAGTACACAGCTGAGTCCGAAGATCAAATATTTGCTTTTGTGTCCCCACGGATTGCCGTTTAGAAGCATCTGGAACTGGAGCGGAGAATATTCAACAGCCCTATGATTCACTGACTGACACGCTGTGTGTGTGTGCACGTGTGTGTGTGTGTGTGTGTGTGTGTGTGTGCATGAATCAGGAAGTGGATGGAGCCAGATTTCAATGCTACTAAGTAGGGGAAATGTAAAACGATAACTAGGAAGTTATTTTTAGATAAGGGAGATCAGTGTAGGTTAGAGGAATGAACATTAAGAAGTACTTTTATGTCTTGATAGTTTTTTTTTTCTTTTTCAATGAGCAAATAATCACTTAAGGCAAACAGTAAAAACAAGATGGGAACATAAAAAGGAGAGAGGAAGCTCACTGAGCGGCATGAGAGGGGAGCAATCTGGATGCAAACCTCTTACTCAGTTTTCGTTTATTGACTCCACAAATATTTACGGAGGGCCTGCTGTGTGCCAGGCACTGTGCTGGGTCTCACTTTGATGAAGGGCCAAGATGCACCTGCCCTTGACTTTCCTTGCACTTGGAAAACCACATACACAGAGACCAGCAGCCTGTGAAGTTTCATGTTGCAGGGGACCCTCGCAGAACCCGTCCCCATGCTCTGTGTTGCGGTCAGTCCCTGCAGGGAAAGTGCTCATGGTTCTTGGTGCAAGGATTGGTTTTGTTGCTTAACGGTGGCTGCTGGTGTAGCCTCAGGTCTCCAGGAGTGTGTGTGTGTGTGTGTGTGTTTTCTGATTAACTCACAAACATACTCTTGAGTCTGGTATAGCCCTATTGGAAAGATGAGATGCTAGAAAATTCAATAGAACATGGAACCAAGAGGCTTATGGAGGGCCCAGGGGGCTTTGGGAACCCCCAAATCTGGCTGAGAGGTTAGAGATACAAGTGTGACCTTCTAGAGGAGCCACAGGCTGGGTGTTGGACTTGACTTACCCAGAATACCATCAGGCTTTAAGAACATTAGCAAACTGCCATTCTGGAATTCACAGGGCATTTCATCATTACTTATGAGGATGGATTCACTCTTGTTTCATTTCAAAGTTCATGCTAAAACTGGGGTGCCTGGATGGCTCAGTCATTGGGCGTCTGACTCTTGGTTTCAGCTCCATTCGTGATCTCAGACTGTGATCTTGGAGTCCTGGGATCAAACTTCAGTGTGTTGTGGTCTCTGTGCTCAGCCAGCAGCCGGGAGTCTGCTTGTCCTTTTCCTTCCACCACCACCTGCCCCCCTCCCACCCCACTCTCTGAGCCCTTTCCCCATCGCTGGCTGGCACATGCACTCTCTCTCTCTCTCAGATAAATTTAAAAAATCTTAAAGAAAAATAAAGGTCGTAAGAAAACTATTTTCTCTTGTGTGTGTGTGAAGCTGACATATGTATGTTTTTTAAATAGGTAATTTCATGCTCCCAAAATGGGACACAAAGTGGTCGTGTTCGACATTTCTGTCATCAGAGCCTTGTGGGAGACGCGCGTCAAGAAGCACAAAGCTTGGCAGAAGAAGGAGACAGAAAGGCTCGAGAAAAGTGCATTGGAAAAGTATGTGTTTTCTCTACTTGCCTGTAGCTCCTTTAGTGAGTGTGCTGTGGTCATGTACAGTCCCACATGCATTCCAGGCACCGTACCAGGCACGGGGTGCATAGCGATGACACAGTAAACTCTCTCCCATGCCCTGGAGCAGCTCAAAGGTACTCCCTGTCATGTATTTCCATCCTTACTTGAGGTGAATGTGGGCTAAGACTTGCTCTACTGACACCATTTTTTACTTGGTTGGACAGGAGATAATTTGACTATGCTCGTGTAAACTCATGATACAGGAGGAAAAGAGAGTGACATGTATATGAAATGAAGCTTATCACTTTGGAAAAACTCCATTTGGGATAACCTAGGGCTGCACAATTGACTCAGCACTGCACAAATCCAAGGAAGTAGGACCAGTTGGAGAGGTTGCACATTCCGGTGGCTTTGCATCTCTGACTTTTTAATTCCCTATGTAGGAACCAAAACTGGAGCTCTTGCATGATGTGCGGAGGGTGTGGTTTATATAAGGAAGGCAGAATGGGATTCTGATCTGCAGACCCAGATTCAGAGGAGGTCCATAACCCTATCTCAAGTTGGCAAAGGTTGATATTTTTCTGTGCTTTAAATTTTTTTGAAGATTTTTTATTTATTTGGCAGAGAGAGAGAGACACAGTAATAGAGGGAACACAAGCATGGGGAATGGGAGAGGGAGAAGCAGGCTTTCTGCAGAGCAGGGAGCCCTATGTGGGGGTCGATCCCAGGACCCTGGGATCATGTCATGAGCCGAAGGCAGACTCTTAATGACTGAACCACCAGTCATTAAGGTAAAAACAAAATGTGTAAGGTGTGAATGTCTCTCTGTTCTTGGCTCTCCATTCTTATGAACTATCTGGATCAAACCAGTACCTATTCTGATCGTGTTTGATAATTAATTGAGTTGTTACTGTAAGCATCACAGCCGTTCCAGGTGGTTATCCTTATCCCCAACTTGAAGATGAGGAAGTTGGGACCCAAGTGTCTTACCCGAGTTGACACAGCTGGTAAGTGGAGGATTTGGCCAAGCTCTTTTCCCTGCACAACGCTGCAATCACACATAGTTGGGACGTTCTTTTCACTTGCACTAATCTGAGGTTATCCAATATGAGATGAATCTTGAATTTAAGAATTGGAAACTCAGACTGGGCAACACCTACGGCAATGGGTCTGAGTGATCTACACTAGCACGAATTACACAGGTCCCTGGACCCCGTGAGCCCAAAGTGTCTCTCAGCTCTGCTCCGACCTTCTCCGTACTCCTAGCATCTGGGTTACTCTAGGGTAGGACAACTTCCTAAAGGGGGACCCAAGCCCTGGGGGTTTTGGGGGAAAGTGTCTGTAGCTGATGTAACCCCCTGAGGGTTCTGGAAGTAGGAGGCATCTGCAGAGAGCTAGGGTCCAGCTGCTTTGGAGTGGTTTTTGCCTCTTGGCTTCTTTCTTTCATCCTGCTGCGAAATGACGTTATAGACAGCTTCCCATGGTTCCTATGTACCGGGTTGGCCCTGAATTGGGCTGGTGCCATGTCTTATCTTGCTTGCCCTAAGACAGAAAACTTCTTAGGCAAGTTAGGTTCTTCTAGCTCAGGATAAGAAAAACAGCCGTCAGATTGGCTGGGCAGCTGAGGGTGAAGTAGGGATAGTGGAGGGAGGAATGTGGGGGTTCAAGGAGCAAGCTGATCGGCTTCCCAGGACCTGCAAAAAATGAACGTATGAATGAATGAATTTCCCTTTTTGGCAGGTGTCTCTGTTTCCGTACTGCGATTCATGCTGCGATTCTTAACACTATTTGTAGGGTAATCTTTAGTTTCTCAAGATCTGTTTCCTGCGGGGGAAATTAACATATTGAAAACCTGACAAATGCCTTATCAGAAAAAGTAATTATCTGGTTAATTTAATTTTATGAAAACAGGCTCTAGCTTGCTCTGTGAACTGACTTCATGGTACTTCATTTTGTAAGACTGTCTTTATTTCATGAAGCATGTATCAAAACTTAAAAATGATAAGCGGAGGGACACCTGGGTGGCTCAGTTGGTTAAGCATCTGGCTTTGGCTCAGGTCATGATCTCAGGGTCTGGGGATCAAGTCCCACATTGGGCTCCTTGCTCAGTGGGGATCCTGCTTCCCCCTCTGCCTGCGGCTCTCCCTGATTGTGCATGCTCTCTCTCTCTCTCTCTTTGACAAATAAATAAATAATATATTTTTTTAAAAAAGGATTATAAGCAAAGATACAATACAGAATAGCGTCCTGCCTGGATGAAACTGAGTCACTGAGTGGGAGAAATAGAAGAGCAGCTGGAAGGTTCTGAGTGAGGAATTTCTCGTCCGGGAAGGCTCTCTGCCATCCAGGCTAGGATTGTGGGTTCGTTTCTTAAGGGAAGAGCACTTTATTTGCACATTTACTGATTTAATTATTGAAACTATAATGGCATTGTTTTACATGTCTTGTATTTGAAGTTCTGCTAAAATTGATTCAAGGGGATGATTATTCAGTTATACGGGTGATAATGTATAAAGACAAAGACAGTTTATTCATGTATTTATTTATCTCTTTTGATCTTTTTTCCCCATTTTTTTAAAATTGAAGAGCAGCCGACACACTATGTTACACCAGTCTCATGTGTACAAGGGAGCGATTCAACAACTCTATTATCTTATGCTAGACTGCTTACTGATTTTAATCACTCTGGAGGAAGAGAATGGAATTTAAAAAAAAAGAGTTTATAGTCTTGACTCTCACCAAAAAATAGTTTATATTCTCATGGGGTTTCGGAGGGAATGGGATAGAAAACATTTTTTTTAATTTATTTTTTTAAAAGATTTTGTTTATTTATTTGACAGACAGAGATCACAAGTAGGCAGGCAGGCAGGCAGAGAGAGAGGAGGAAGCAGGCCCCCTGCTGAGCAGAGAGCCCTACGCAGGGCTCGATCCCAGCACCCTGGGATCATGACCTGAGCCGAAAGCAGGGGCTTTAACCCACTGAGCCACCCAGGCGCCCGGGATAGAAAACATTTAAAAAGAAATCCCCAAAGGATTTGGTATATGCTTCTTTTTAATGAGATGTCACTCATATCTTTCCTTTTCTCCATTATATGTTAGCTGCCCCCAAATACGTGAGCCATTTATGTTGGTTTGTTGTTCGCGATACAGGAAGGATGTATTCTGTAAAGCTTAACGGGCATCGTCTCATCACATCGGCAGCGAAGCCCTTCGGACTCAGTCTAAGAAATGAGCGTAAAAGAGATGTTAACCTGAAAAGTGCTTGGTGAACACAAGGCTTGGTGAACAGTGTCTGTGCTGTTGGCTGCTGCCATTTTGGGGGGATTTCTTTCCTTCAATCTGCATGTCTTAGACCCAGGGTCTGCCCCACAGCCCTGACTGCTACAGTCTGATCTAGAACCATAGGTAGGCATTTACATTGATTTATTTTAAAAGATTTATTTATTTATTTATTTATTTATGGTGGGGAGAGAGAGAGAGACAGACAGACAGCATGCAGAGTAGAGGGAAGGGCAGAGGGAGAGAAAGGAGAGAGAGAATCTTAAACAGGCTCAATGCCCAGGGCAGAACTGGACACAGGGCTCGACCCCAGGACCCTGAGATCATGACCTGAGCTGAAATGCTTAACCAACCGAGTTGTCCAGGTGGCCCTAGGTATTTACATTTTTTAAAATCACATGGTATTAAAATATATTTAAACTATACAGAAGAGCTAATAATGAAAAGTAACAATCCCAAGCCCATCCTACTACTTTCTCCCAGTATAAAATTCATCCCTCTCCATGTGCTGGCATTTTTTTAAATTTATACTTTTATGACATTACATGGAGATGTCATAGGTAGATCCTGAAGCCCTGCCTCCTTGATAGCCGAGTGCTTACCTCAGCTCAGCAAGCTGTGACTAGGACCTTGGTAAAGTGGTAGCCAGGCTAGCCAGGGCCATCGGCAAAATATTTTTTCAAATACTCCTCTTTCTCCCAGCTTAATGGCAAGCTTGAAACTCCAATGATACCCAAAGTCATTTTGGAAGAGCAAAAAGTGTACATGTAGACCTGGGGAGCCAACCCTGCCAAAATTCAGGAACAAATGTCCCAGGCAGACAAAAAATCAATGCAAATACTGAGGCATGGGTTGTCCTGGGTGTTCAAGGAGGAGCAAGGGAGCCAGTCAGCAGACCAGGAAAGCAAGCGACTGCACCAGTGGTTGTGGCCAGACAGACAGGTGAGGCACAGTCTTGTATGGCTTTGGAGGCGCAGTGGGACATTGCTTTGCTGGCTGAAACAAAGAGCCAAGGACAGAGTGTGATTGTCATTGTGACGGGCTTACTTGAAACGCTGGACAAGTTTAGACCGTAGGGAGGCAAGAGTGGTGCAGAGGATGGTGCCTTGGGCAAGAATGGAAGCAGGGAAGATGGTGGGGAGTGGCGTGATTCTTGTAGAACTGACCATTATCTCTTGATGGATTTGATATGAGGCATGAGGAAAGTATGGAGCCAACGATGGGCCTGAGGTTTTTAGCCAGAGCATCTGGAAGCCTTTTACTGAATGGAGAAGAGGCAAGTTTTGGGGTGAAGATCAGGAGTTTGGGTTGGAACATGTTAATTTAATTTAATTTTTTTAAATTTTAATTATTTTTTAAAAAGACTTTATTTATTTATTTGACAGACAGAGATCACAAGTAGGCAGAGAGGCAGGCAGAGAGAGAGGAGGAAGCAGGCTCCCTGCTGAGCAGGGAGCCCGATGCAGGGGCTCGATCCCAGGACCCTGAGATCATGACCTGAGCCGAAGGCAGAGGCTTTAACCCACTGAGCCACCCAGGCGCCCCTGGAACATGTTAATTTTAGACATTCAGGCGGAGCTACGGGAGAAGCAAGGAGTCAGTGAGGCAGTCTTGGCTAGATAACTGTAACTGGGCATCATCAGCATACAGATCCATTTAAAGCCATGCACTGCGAGATAGCCAATGAATGAATGTAGATGGAGACGGGCAGAGGCCCAAGGACTGGGTGTTGGGACCTTGGAGATTCCGAGGTTGGGAAGTTGAGGGGGAGAGAGCCCAGTGACTAGAGAGGTAGGAGTGGAATGGGCAGAGAGAGGGAGCCAAGGGCAATCAGACTTGATGGGGGAAGAAAAGCTGTGCCGAATGTTCCAGATGGGTCAGAGGAGATGAGGACTGGATTTGGCTACTGGGTCTAGCAAAGTGGAGGTCATGGTGATCTGGAGAACAATTTCCAAAGAAGGGGGACACCGAGCAAAGGGCGTTCAACAGAGAACAGGGGATGGAGAATTGTGGATGTGAGTCAGCACAGCTCTTTTGTGGGGTTGGCTGTAAGGTGGAGCAGAGAAGCAGGCTTGATGGAAGACATGACGTTGCAGGGAGGTGGGGGGAGGGGTGGAGAAGATGATGGTGGCAGTGTTGCCCTTTGAGTTGGGAGAAAAAACTGAGCGCATGTGCTAATGGGAGTGATCCTCAGGAGGGAAATACACAAGAGACAACCCGAAGCAGGAAGTCCTTGAGCCAGTGAGAGGCTGGGTGCTCGGGAAGGGGGGGTAACCAGGGAGGATCTGGGAGAGTTCTTCCCGACCAGGCGAAGCACAGGCAGAGTTGATAGAACAGACAGGAGCAGGTGGTGTGGATGTGGTGCTGGGACTTCCAGGTGTTCTGTTCTCTTTCATTTCTTCCCTCCTTGGACTAGAAGCTCTGGGATAGAGGATGGGGTAGGCAGTGATGGAGGTTTGCTTGAAAGGGAGAAAATGTGTAAGAGTCACCTAGGGCCTATGGCAAAGAGATGAGCTTGGGAGTGTGGTAGGGCTGCTGGGCAGTAGTGAGGGGCCTGGGTCAGGGGACCACCATCCAAAATGAGGCCAGTTTGCAAGGTGGTGAACTCTCCTTCATGTTTGTGTCCTGGATGGGTGCATGTGCAGAACCGGGGGTCGGGGGGGGCGGGCAGGGGAGGGGTAGTGGATACCAGCTAGAGTGAGGTTTGCCAGGTGCATGCGAACAGCAAGAGAGGTGCAAAGGGGCTGAGGAGGGACTCGGAGGTGATGAAAGTGGAACCACGAAATGTTATTTATAAAAGCCTTACTGAGGAGCATAACTTACACGCAGGAAACTACATATATTTAAAGGATACAATTTGAAATGTTTGATGTATGTATACGTCCCTAAAACCATCTCCACAATCAAGATATGATCACGTTCGTCACCTTACAAGCCTCTTCCTCACTCTTGGTGGTTCTTTCCTCTCATCCCTGTCCTCGATGCCCGGGCAGTCACGCCTTCCTGTCGTCGTAGATGATTTTGCACTTATTAGAGTCTTTTTTTTTTTTTTAAATATTTTATTTATTTATTTGACAGACAGAGATCACAAGCAGGCAGAGAGGCAGGCAGAGAGAGAGGAGGAAGCAGGCTCCCTGCTGAGCAGAGAGCCCGATGCGGGGCTCGATCCCAGGACCCTGGGATCATGACCCAAGCTGAAGGCAGAGGCTTTAACCCACTGAGCCACCCAGGCGCCCCGCATTTATTAGAGTCTTACAAATCATTTTATATAAATGGAATACTTTTTTTGGTCTGGATTCTTTTATTGATTGATTGGTTGATTGATTACCTGGATTCTTTCGTTCAGCCCGATGACCTTGAGATTCACTCATGCGGTAGTTTGTATCAAGAGTTCATTTTTCTTTTATCGCCAAGTAGTGTTCCATGGTGTGAATAAGCTACAGTGTGTCCATCCATTCACCTGTGAAGGTGCATTTGGGTTGTTTCCAGGTTTGGGCTATAAAGCTGATATGAACATATGCCCATGTCTTTGTATGGATATATGCTTTCCCCTGTCTTCTAGAAATACCTAGGAGTGGAATGTTTGGATCATACAGTATACATATGATCTTTACAAAATCCGTTGGGACCTAAAGGGTTGGTGACTGGCAGGGTCCGGCTGAGTCACCAGCCACCCACCCCTGCATTGCAGCTCTCCTGAGGAATTACTGACACTGACCACATTCTAGTGTTGCTACCAAGCTTTGCTAACACTCTTAACTTTCGACTGGTGGAAAGACTGTCTATAAACACTTACTAGAATGTTTCAGCACCTATGATTCCTTTAGCAGTGTGGGCCTGGCTCTGAATCAGGGGTCTCTAGCTAGCTCCATGTCCTCTGCACGCTGTCCCAGCAGCTTTGCCCCTCTGGTTTCCCTACTTACTCATTCCGTAAGAATTGAACATTACAGGGGGTCATGGGTTCTGGGGCATGGGTTGGGGGGAGTTGGGGGTGTGAAACAAAAACCAGGCAGGACTGAAAGCAGTTGAAGCTACATAAAGGAGGTGATCACAGCTCTCTGAGCCCTGCGGGTCCCAACCCAACAAGGGATGAGGGAAAGAGGTCTGGGCTTTCTCCCACCTCAACCGCACCACTGCCCGACTTCTCACAGGGTGTCCAACCTGTGTTAAAGGTTAACCCTCAGAAAACGTGCAGATACAAAGGGAATGCGAGTTAAAAATTCAGTTTTTCTCATTATGAACACGAGGACAAGGAGGGAGGTGTTACAGCCAGTTCAGAGGAGAATCCAAAGGACAGACACGTTTAGGTATCAGGAAAATTGAAATGAACTTGCAAACGGAACAATCTGTCCTCAGAGGTGGGGGGAGGGTTGTCCCTCCACCGGACAGAACTGATTTGTGTGTCTGTAGTCAAGAATTATTTATGTTGCTATCAGTTTTCTGCAAGTTCACTTTAGTCTCTGCAGAGTTGTAAAGATCGTTTTTTAGGGTTTGATATAAACTGGGGCTGCCTATACATTTCAAATCAGACACCCTTGAAATATTAGCATATTCCTGTGGCCACGCATTTAAAAAACAAAAGAGGGGTGCCTGGGTGGCTCAGTCCCTAAATATCTGCCTCCAGCTCAGGTCATGATCTCAGGGTCCTGGGATCCCAGCATCGGACTCCCTGCTCCACGGGAAGCCTGATTCTCCCTCTTCCACTCCCCCTGCCTGTGTTCCCTGTCTTGCTGTGTTTCTGTCAAATAAATAAATAAAATCTTAAAACAAAACAACTTGGGCTAGCACCACATAATATCAAAGGAAATGGTAATTAATCAAATACATAGGTAACTTTGGTAGAAAATTTAGGAATTCCATCCCACTCACCTTCTCTACTTTTTTTTAGTCAAAGTTGCTGATAATTCGCAACTCTGAGGGTTTAAGATGCCGCTTACATTCCCACAGCAGAGGGACCCAGGAAAGAGTGCAGGGGGCAAAGCTGAGACTTGGTTCCGTGGCGGGGTCCCTGAGTCTCCAGCCGCTGCCACTGCGGGGAAATCGCTGCCTGGGGAGGGACTGCGTCTGCGCACAGGTGGTGTGCCGGCAACTCCTTGCAGGTGGGGGCGGTTCCCCAGGAGCTTGACTTCGGCCTTTGCTATCCGTTTAGGATAAAGGAGGAGTGGAACTTCGTGGCCGAGTGCAGGAGAAAAGGCATCCCCCAGGCTGCGTACTGCAAGAATGGCTTCGTAGACACCAGCGCGAGGCTTTTGGAAAAGATCGAAAGGAACACTTTCGCGAGGCAGAGTTCACTTTCCAAGGAGAGAGACAAACGGAGGAGTCCGTTTGTGTTTGAGCTTTCGGGGGAGCAGTGGACGGTGAGTGCAGCAAGGGGGTGCCCCCCGATGCGCTGCTGGATTCTGCTGGAGGCATTGACTGGCCTTGGCCTTGGCCGAAAGAGAGCTTTCCCATGGATGGGGAGGAGCCAGTTGCCTGCTCTAAACCGGGTTCTTAGGTCTCTTCCTCCGTGCAAGACCCTGCAGTCCTGGGGAGGACAGCGGGGTCCCTCGGAGGTCGGCAGGCGCTGGGATCCTGGCGGCCCTCCCCAGGATGGCACAGCCTTTAAAATGACTATTCCTGCGGTCTCTCCCCCAAGACCTTTAAAATCACTCTTTGCCTTTTTTTTTTTTTTTTTTTTTTTTTTAAAGAACGGAGCCTTTCAGGTAACATCCCCTGGTAGGTGGTGACAGATTTAGCTGTTTTTCCTTCTGAGAGTCTGAGGCCAGGACAAAGATGTAGCCTCCCCTACTCCCTTTCTTTCCTCTGGGGTTTACAGGTGGCTTCCTGCTCCCCGGTCCCTGATCTGCTGCTTTGCTTGGGGCAGTATCTCCTGGGCTTGCAGGTGATCTGACGTTTTCTGGTGGAAGCCCCACCTGAGTGTGCTATGGGCAAGCAAACTGGTATGATGGTCTCTTTCTGGGGGACGGGGTTCTCTGGAACCTGCCCTTCATCTCTTTTTATGCCCCCGACTTACGGCTGAAAGGACTCTGGGCTGGGAGACTGAATTTGGGGAGGGGATCGTCGTGGGTGTCCTTTATTGGTCATGTGATCTGGAGGCACTTTATTCTACTTTCATATATTTTCTCTCCTCCTCAGTAAAATGGGGCTAAGGCCTGCCTTAGCTCCCTCTGAGGGCCGTGGTGGGTCCTGAATGAGCCAGTATTCTAGGACACTGACATGTAGGCTGCACTGCCCTCTGAAACTGGGAGAGTTTATTACTATACAACCTCTAGTCTTTTTCTCCTGCATCTCTATCGTTGAAATCAGTGGGTGCCCTTCTGCAGTTCTAATTAAATACCGCTGGTAAATCCCATGTGATATTGTCAAGCATGGCCTTTGTCAAGCACTTACCCGACAAGCGTTACCCAGCCTGTCTGGAGAACCTACATCCATAAGCACTTCTCAGCACCTTTGCAATCATATCCCAGAACCCTTGAGCCCAGGGCAGCCTTGGATTCTGCCGAGTTCCTCTGTCACTTCACAAATGACCAGGGAGGTAGTGCGCCTGGAAAAAGGCAGAACCTGGCCAAGCATTCATGTCTCCTCGCTCTCTTTCTGGTGTTCTTCCCTATGAGAGACTCAGAAAAACAGTGAGAAACTTGGCACAGCAATGATTAGATCTTTATCAAGCAACTAGGGAGGGAAACATAGCACACATTTTAAAATCCAACGCATGGACAGATTTTGTTTTCAGAAGGTGTTAAATCAGTGTGTTGTAAACCAATAGTACATGTCGCGGCTATAGGTGTGAGCTTGGTTATCTGTGTTCACTGGGCATTGGATTTTCATATCAGGAATTCATGGCACTTTTGAAATTGGCCAGTCCACTGTTGTGAGATTCATGACAACCCCAGAGTCTTAAAGTGGTTTCATGGAGGGGCTGTGCAGCCGGCTAAGGTTAGGTCTGATGCTCTCACCCATGCTGTCTTGCTTCTTGCCTTTCTCGCAAATGCCCGGTTATACTTGACTTTGCGCACGCCACCACTCGGCTCTGACACCATGAGGAACTGGTTGTGACTGATGTCATTCATTCGGTCTCAGGAGCTCCCGGATTCACTGAAGGAGCAGACGCACCTGCAAGAATGGCACATCACTAATACCCTGATTCAAATCATTCCTACCTACATTGAGCTGTTTCAAGCAATGAGAATTCTGGATCTGCCAAAAAACCAAATCTCCTGTCTTCCGGCTGAAATTGGTATGTTCACCAGCAGGAGCCTCCGTGCTCTCATCTGGCAAGCAGGCAGCCGGTGGGCAGGCTGCGTGGAGCTTCCTTTCCCTTGTGGCCCAGGACACTGCTGGGCAGGGCTGTTTCCTTTGTTCCCAGAGCTGCTAGTTTCTTTGCAAGGTCCCCTTGGGGTGGTGATACCACCATCCCACCTGCAGGACTCGGCACAGGCAGACATTTGCCGATGGCTCAGAAACTAGAAGTCTCATGAGTGAGCAATGCCACGGTTAGGAACTTTTTGTTTATTTTCTTTAATTTTAGAAAGTTACGCATGCAATACATGTTCATTGCAAACATGAATGACAACCAATTATTCCCATATAAGTTTAGTGTAGCCTATTTTGTCATTTTGATCAACATTTTATAATTCTCCATCACATTTCTGTTCAGCTGCTGTACCTTAAAATGAAGACTATAGTGATCATTACTACTTCTCTTTCTCTTGGGGTGTGAGGGGCAAAAGATGGGGGCTGCCTATAGTTCCATGAAGGATTAACTAGAGAGTAAGCACAAAATGCTGTGATCATGGACTGACAAGCTGACATTTAATCAAGGGCTTAAAAAACAAATACAAGATTATGTTCCATGTCTCCCCCATCATCATTATACAAATGTTTTATCTTTGTCTTGTGTTTGTTGTTAAAAGACCTTGAAGGATCTTCCCGATGGGTGTTCATTTGTTCTGATGACAGGTCACTTGAAGAACCTGAAAGAACTCAATGTGAGCTTCAACCTTCTGAGAAGCATCCCTCCAGAATTGGGGGACTGTGAAAATCTAGAGAAACTGGATTGTTCTGGAAACCTAGAATTAACCGAGCTCCCCTTTGAAGTAAGAAAGCAGTCATTTTTGCACTATAATTTACTTGTATTTGGTTTATGACATGGGATGATGTGGGGAAGGCAGTTCACAAGGTAAAAGTCCATCTTTCTTTTTTTTTTTTTTAAAGATTTTATTTATTTATTTGACAGAGAGAGATCACAAGTAGACAGAGAGGCAGGCAGAGAGAGAGGGAAGCAGGCTCCCTGCTGAGCAGAGAGCCCGATGCGGGACTCGATCCCAGTGAGATCATGACCTGAGCCGAAGGCAGAGGCTTAACCCACTGAGCCACCCAGGCGCCCAGTCCATCTTTCTTATATCACGCTTTCTTGACATTTCAGTCACCTTATACCAGTGACTAGAAGGTCTTTCAAAATGTTCTTACATTAGGCCAGGAGCTGAATTTAAGTTCGGAAAAGCTGTCAAAAAGAAACAAACAAAACTAGGCAAAACCTCCTGTTTTCATATGAGATATTTTTATTTAATGTCTATTTAATGTCTGATGCCTGTTGTCTGTGATGCAGATCTGGATTTATTTATCCACAGTGGTAAAATAAATTGGAAACAGTTGGAAATAAAGGGGGTAAAATTTTTAAAAGAAGTTAATATATTCACAAAAACTTGTAGGTAACCAAAACAGTCTTAACAGATAGGATTTTAAAGGTCCATTCATTTAAACAACATTCGTTAGTGACTTTTGGTCTGTATTCACTGGGGAAATGATTTAGAATCCCATTCTGATGAAATGGAGCCGCTGAGAGGGAAGAGTGTTGCCAAACAAAACTCAACAGGCTTCTTATGCTAAAGGGAGATAGAGATCGCATAATCCTGCTGGTAAGGAACCGACTGGAAACAATGTTGCTGGTGTGGTGCTAACAAGGCCCTGGCTGCTGCTTAGAGTCCCAGATGGGGTGTTACTCTCTTTGCCTGGAAACTTCTTGGCGGGTGGAAGTGCCTGCTTCCACCATCGCCCCAGGAAATGCCCAACAGTCTAGGTGAGGGCGTCCGCCCAGGGGCGTGACTCCCTCCTTGAGACTGCTCATTCCCCAGGCCTCCCAAGTTTGTTTGTTTGTTTATTTACGTAATTATTTTTAAAAATTTTATTCATTTATTTGACAGAGAGAGAAAGAGAGAGAGCATGCCAAAGCAGGGGGAGCAGCGGGCAGAGGGAGAGCGAGAAGCAGGCTCTCCGCTGAGCAGGGAGCCCGAGGTGGGGCTCGATCCCGGGACCCCAGGATCATGACCTGATCCAAAGGCAGATGCTTAACCCACTGAACCACCCAGGTGCCCCCAGGCCTCCCCAGTTTAGAAATTGGCACAGTCTTCTCTCAGTTGTCCAGGCTGGAAGCAAGGCAAGTCATCTTGACCTCTCTTGCTCCTATTCCCTGATTCCACTCTGTATGTAAGTCCTGTTAAACGTGTCCTTCAGAATAAGTTCTGTGTCTGACCACCGCTCAGCACCTTGCCACTGACACCCTGGTCCAAGCCCGTGCTGTCCTACATCTGAACTGGAATGGCAGCCTCCTAGGCTTGCCTCTCTGTCCCTTCTCTTTCCCCTTCTCTTTATTGAGATATAATTTATAGACGCCCAGATTCAGCCATAAGTGTACAATTCACCCTAATTCACATTTAGCATATTTCTATCATTCTCTCAAAATTCTGTCTCTCCTGTTTGCAGTTAATCTGCATGAGTTGGTGGATTAGGCAGCCCTAGGCCACCACAAGCTGGGTTTGTTTTTTTCCTGGCAAATAGCAATGTCCTGGTGACTCCCCTATATTGACATAGGTGGGAGCAAATGTACCCGGGATAGAGATTTTTAGGCTCTTTGCTTTGAATGGGATTCTGTAAATGTACTGTACTTGTTATACTTCCCCAGTTGGCTCTGTTATAATAGCTCACTGACTCTCTTTATATGTAACTTCACTATTTCCAGACTGAATGGTTCTCACTGGACATAAAGTTCAGCCACCTGTCCAAACTAGGGTTTATTCAAGATAAATAGAAACTATGTAGCTGAAGACAGGTTGTCTCAGCCTTATGTGTCCAACTTGTATGTATCCAAAGGAAACACACAGCACCCAAGGTTCTGGTCTCTACAGACTCAGGAAAGCACCATTTGCCTGGATGCCATATCCAAATGCTGGCATTAAAACTTTTTTTTTTTTTTTTTTTGTTAAAAACATAATGCTACATTTACCACTGTGACCATTTTTAAGTGTACCGTTCAGTAGGGTTCTATGTATTCGCATGATTGTGCCTGTCTTCATGAGTTGCCTTTCACACAAATAATTGACGCAATCCTGAATTCAAGTTCAAACAGACCCACAAATAGAATGAATGACCTGTGGAGGGAACTAGCAGGAATTTTGAGACAAAGGTAAAGGTAATGAAACTTCTGTGTAAATGAGTGTTGTATTTATTCTGACTGAATGTCAGATTTTTATCTGGACAGCACTGGAATTTTCAGACAAATTGCCATCCAAGTACTAACCAGGCCCAACCCTGCTTAGCTTCCAAGATCAGATGAGATCGGGCACATTCAGGGTGGTATGGCCGTAGACTATAACTACCTTTCCAAAGAATTTATGAGTATTTTGTTTTGCCCTTGATGAAAGTAGCTAGTGGGGAATTACTATATCCAGGCATTTGTCTCCTTGCTAGTTTGATGCCACTGTGATTTTCCTTATTCTAATTTTCACAGAAGTCTTAACTTATTGAGGATATTTAAAGGAAAGAACTTGGGGCACCTGGGTGGCTCAGTCAGTTAAGCATCTGCCTTCGGCTCATGTCATGATCCCTGAACCCTGGGATCGAGCCTCACTTTGGGCTCTCTGCTCAGCAAGGAGCCTGCTTCTCTCTCTCCTTCTGTCTGCTGCTCCCCCTGCTTTTGCGTTGTCTTTCTCTGTGTCAAATAAATAAATCTAAAAAGAAAAAAAAAAAGGAAAAGAACTTATTTTTCTACAGTCTAAAAAAATGTACCTTCTACATTTATTGTAAAAAGGAGGAAGACAAGAGACTGATGTTAATTCAGTCTTGATTTTTCTGCTGATCTGAGAACACTGGCAACACGGTCAGAGACTTTAGACTGAATTATGGGCACCCCAAACATCTTTTCTGATGCTTATTTACTGTCCCATTACTGTCTTCACATTCATTTTTAGAAATTCAAAACAAGAGCAAAATTAGAATGTGCCCATTCAAAAGGGTGAGTTTGACTTGTGAGTCACTAAAGCAAATGTAACAATAGGGAATTAGGTATTATATTAAGATAAAGAGAGGTATAAGCATACTGCTTCTTTCTTTTGTAGATTTCATTCATTCCTTCTGTTGGTTCAACTGGCTCCATATTGCATATTGCATAACAGTTTTGAAAATGTGTTCTGAAGGGCAGCCCAAGTGTTATCTGTGGACTCTGAAAATAAGTCAGTAAAAGGTAGCTCCTTCTATATGTCATGGCTGTGACCCAACTTACAAAAACAAATCCAAACATGAGACACATTTCCTACTTCATTCAATATTCGTAGATTTGCATTTGAAATAAAAAAAATATATGTCCCTATGTATCCAGTTACCATATTAAAACACAAATTATGGAGAAGAGACCTAAAGAGTAGAGATTTCTGATTGCTTGCTCCATCCCTGCATGAGCTCAAATGTGAGTCTTTTTAAGATTTGCCAAAACTCCAGGGTGCCTGGGTGGCTCAGTCTGTTGGGCGTCTGCCTTCGGCTTAGGTCGTGAGCCCAGGGTCCTGGGATTGAGCCCCACATGGGGCTCCCTGCTCAGCGGGAAGCCTGCTTCTCCCTCTCCCACTCCCCCTGCTTGTGTTCCCTCTCTCGCCGTGTCTCTCTCTGTCAAATAAATAAATAAAATCTTAAAAAAAAAAAAAAGATCTGCCAAAACTCCTTGTGGCCGTCTTCAAGTCATTCTATTTTTTAAGGCTTGTGCTTTTTGTTTTCTGTGACTTTGCACATGCTGCTCCCTACCTGGAGTTCCCTTCTCTATCTTTTCCCCTGTTGGGGAAACCTCAGGACCCAGTGTAAAAACTCCATTCTCCGTGAGATCTTTCCTCACCCCTTCCCTTACCCTACTGTGACATTGGGACATTAGCCCCTTATGTCTGTGCTGCTGAATGCACCCAGTTGAAAACTTCTTCACGTTAGTTCTTACTACATTAGATGGCATTGCTTATTTTCAGAAGTGTGAACTCCTGGTAGGCAGACCCTGTGTGCTGCCCGTCATGGAGCATGTCGTCAGCGCTCCAAAATACATATTCTCCTGATCTGTGTTGTGTATATTCTTAGAAGGGCCGTTGGGAAGAAATATCACCTGAAAATTATTAGTTGAACCTACCTGCACTTACAAAAGTAATTAGAATATGTTGTTATTCCTTTCTAGTTAAGTAACTTGAAGCAAGTTACATTTGTAGATATCTCAGCAAACAAGTTTGCCAGTGTCCCGATCTGTGTCCTGAGGATGTGTAATTTGCAGTGGTTGGATATCAGCAACAATATCCTGAATGACCTGCCCCAAGATATAGACAGGTAGCTACTTGCATTCTGAAGGTGAGGTGTATGAATTAGTTACTAACGCCTTAACCACCGTTTTAACGTTTTAAACAGGCATAACACATGAGTGGTCTTTGAAATCAGTGTATTTTCCAAGAGTTTATTGTTTCTGGGAAATGAGTTTCGTTCTTTAGATAATGAGACAGTTTCCAGTTTCCAGCCTCATAAGTGTGTGTGCGTATGTATGTGCATTTGAACACATCTCTGTTGTCTTGGTGAACTTTTAATTTCCTTGAGTCCTCAACAGAATGACATCATTAACTTTACCCCGTAGACATAGCAAAGTATCTTTATTATATATGGAATAGAAACGTATCACTCTATGTCTTTATATATATGTTATATATGGAAGAGGAACATTTCTAAACTCTGTTTAGAATGTCAGTGAGGGTAATTTTTATTGGTTTCATTTATTGATTTATCACACATGATCTTTCAAGCAAATCGATATGATTAGTAAAGTTTTCCAATCATATCCTTGTATCCACATGATTGGACTGGGCTCTCTGGCTGGCTCAGTCAGTAGGGCATGAGACTCCTGATCGTGGGGTGGTGAGTTCAAGCCCCACAATGAGCATAGAGCTTACTTAAAAAAAAAAATTACACTGAGCATGTAAGATCCATTCATTCACTCATTTCATTCATTCATTCATTCCACCAATGATACTAGGCTCCTGTATGGCAGGCCCAGAATTTAAAATAGTGAATGAAACAAAATATCTGACCTTTTGGGATCCAGAGTCTCCTTTATAAAGATAGTGCATAATAAGTAAGTTGTCATGACCCAGAAGCCAAAACTGACTTTGTTCCCAAGGTCACTTACATGACCTTTTTCTACTCCTGGTATGTGTGATGTATATCAGTGCTTTCCAGTTTTGTGAGACTAAGTGGGAATTGTTTTAGTTTGAAACACGAGGCAAACTCTGTGAAATATTTGTAGGCTCAGTCAAAATTTTGGAAATGCATGCAAGAAAAAAACTGGGTCGGGGCGGGGGGCAGTCACTGAGTTAGAATAAAACGGAAAACAAATAAAACAAATCCAGAGCACATTTTGCTCATTTCCTTTTCATTTGACAGATTTCTTTCCATTTTAAATTTAGAAAATATGATAGGGGAGGAATATTGGGCTTTCAAGATATATACCAGGAAATACGTGGCCCAGATCTGTTCATTCTTGGCCCCAGTTCCAGTATAGTTCCTTTCCCATCCTTTGCTGACCCCTTGGAGAGATGTACTGAGGGTCAGGTCAGACGCTCGGAGAGATGTACTGAGGGTCAGGTCAGACACTTGGAGAGATGTACTGAGGGTCAGGTCCTTTCCCAGACTAGTGTATAATGTGCAGTTTGTTATCCTGCTGCTGTATTTGTCTTTGTTTGGTAACTAAGCCAGGGAAAACTTAAAAAATCCCAAATTGTGTCACCTCGCATGACTTTATTTAAATTCTAAAGTCCGCTTATCCTCGTAAGGGTCACATATATAAAATAAACTACGTAGGGATTTCATACCAGAATTTATTTGCCATTTACTTTGTTTTTTTTTTTTCCTCCCCTGCTATGAGGTTAATCCTTATAAGTCTAATCCCCTTATCCCCTTTACTTCTTCTTAGGCTAGAAGAACTGCAGACCTTTCTCTTGTATAAGAACAAGCTGACCTATCTTCCTTATGCCTTGCTTAACCTAAAGAAGCTCACCTTGCTAGTCGTCAGTGGGGACCATTTGGTGGAGCTCCCGACTGCCCTGTGTGACTCATCCACACCTTTAAAGTGAGTAGATCTCCCCTAGAGACTTTCAAGGTAAGGACGACCTGCAGCCTGGGTGCTCACCTGTCTCAGGAACCAGATAGGATGGTTCTTGGACTCAGATGACCTGATCCTGGTTCGCAGAAGTTCCGATGCCTTTGTACAGGATTTTGAAGTTTTTGGCCAATGGCACGAGGAAGTAGATCTCAGAGGATTTCTGGACAAATGCTACTGCTGTTTGAAGTGTGACAAAGCACACGCCCAGGGCTCCCTGGTTGTCTTACCCTTTTTTGGTTTCCTTAAAGAAACCTGTAAACCACCCCAAACTAAGAAAAACCATCCCAGCGAATGTGATACAGCTTCTAATCTGGCCTGAAACATTGAACAGTCTTTCTTACCTTGGAAGGGGACTTGAAAAGCCATAGCACCCTCCCTCCCCTGAAGCTGACTCCAGGCCACCTTGACATGATGCTGCTCCAGTGAGAGCCCTCTCCGTCCTGTGCCCAGGGACTCATCTGCCTTAAACACCAGGTGTTTGCTAAAACCATGACTCAAGGGGTGATTTTCCAGAAATGTCCCATTCTTTCGGTGATAAGTGCTCATCTCATCATAACTCTTCCTCATCTTCTGATCCTGGCAGTAAGAAGCATAGCAGACAGAAATAGAGAAGTGAACTATTACAAAGAGAGAGACTAAATTCATTCCTGTGTAAGCACAAGATGAACAGGGATATGACATCTTTTCCCCACTGGCCCACCATATTCCTTCCACTGGAATGGGTCTTCCCCTGCTCTTGGTTGTCCTAGGAATGTCTTTTGGATGCAAGGAGGTCAAAGAGGTCTTGAGTATTTGGAAAGACATACTTTGTCTTTTCTGGATGAAAAGGCGTTAAAGATGTGATTTCTTCCAAAAATTATACATCAGTGTAATGTAATTCCAACAATAACTCCAGTGGGATTTCTTTTTTTGGAGCTTGAACAACTGATTGGAAAGTATATCTGAAAGGCAAAAAGTTAAGAACAGCAACAATAATTTTGGAAAACAAGAGTAACAAGACAGAATTTGCCTTACTGAGAATGACAATATGTTTAAATGTATAAGACTCAAAATGAGGTGGTGCTAGGCAATGATTTGTAGATGAATTATTAGAACAAGGCGGATCATACTGAACGTGATCCTAATCTGTGATACAGGGATTTTCATAAACCAGTGGGGAAGGTCTGAGTGGCTTAATACACCTTTAAGGAAGTTGGATAATTAGGGAAAGACAAAGCCCGTTCTTCCCTTGACAACATCAGAAAGCTTATGGCCTATAGCCATATTTTTGCTGTGTGTCATATAGGGAGACATCTAGAATAAGCCAGAGATTAAATATAAAAAGAACAAGAAATGCCATGTTAATGATGGTAGATTGACCATGTGTCAATCTACACTTATCCCTCTTGAGATCCTATTGAGATGAGGAAAAAAATGAAACCTATAAGCCCCCATGATGGAGAAAGCAAGGGAAGGCCTTCACAAAATGAGAGATGCCACACACTTTGGGAGACATACAGCAGAGAGAACAGTGGTGATTGATAAAAATAGAATGGAGCAGGCTCATGTTCAGAGACCAAATCAAGAAATTAAGCCCATTGGCCCTGGAGAACTCTGAAGAAGCGTGTGGTCAGAAATTCCAGGTCCAGGCTGGTGCAGATTGAGGCAGGATACTAAAAAACAACAGGACAATTTCATGTACACAGACGATCCCCTGCCTTTTAATCTCCTCCTCAGTTCCACTGCACAGACCACTCAGCATCTGACCAAAAAGCCTGAGGTGTCCTCTAGGGTGGCCCTGGGGGAAAAAACCCAGAGTTTTGTGTTCGGAGACTTCCCAGGGGACTGGCAACTGCTTGCCCCCGTGCTCACCCATGGTGGGCTGGCGCCGGGGCAAAAACAGTTTGCACGTGTGGGTGCCCAGCCAACATGCTGGGGTCTCAGCCTCATACATGAAGGCATCACTGACTCTTTCCAGATAATTGTCACAAAGACATGAATTTTTCAATTTTGGAATCAACCTTCAGGCAAGATAGAAATGTTAAATACGGTTTCAGAACAGAATGCGGATGGTGTTGGTGTTAACGGTGTGAAAGTGAAAGTATGTGATGTCTGTGAGTGTTTTGAATGCATTGGAGAATAAGATGGCTTGATGAGTAGATCGAGGGGGGGATAAATGGATGGATGTGTCATAAAGCAGCTGCAGTAAAATCTTAAATATGGAACCTAGTTGGTGGGGACAAGGGTGTTCACTGTAGCAGTTTTTTTTGTTTTTTGTTTTTTGTTTACTTTCCTAAATGTTGGAAAATTTTCATAATGGAATGTTGAAAAAGTGAAAGTATAGATCATAAAAATTGGGAGGTAATAGGGTTGGGGAACGGAAGAGAAGGAAAGGAATACCTCTGCTTGATTAAACAACATTGAAGTATTAGTCCTGCGTAAAAGAGAGTTCCAGTAGGATAAGTAGAAATAGTGATTGACCCATGAAAGAGATTGCTTCTGGAGGATCTGAGACACAGAGGGTGAGTGAGAGACTGTGGTTTTAAATAAAATGGTATCCTTGCAAATTTTAAAATACGTAGAGTGATTACTCTGATAAAACATTAAAGAATGATGAAATACAGGCTTTTTTTTTTTTTTTTGGATAGGGACGGATGATAAAAATTAACTCAATGAAGAACTTGCAAAGGGGGCACCTGGGTGGCTGAGTTGGTTAAGCTGCCGCCTTCGGCTCAGGTCATAATCTCAAGGTCCTGAGGTCGAGTCCTGCATGGGGCTCCCTCTCCCTCTCCCCTGCTCACTCATGCTCTTTCTCTGTCTCTCTCTTTCTCAAAAAAATAAATAAAATTAAAAAAAAAAAAAAAGGAGCTTGCAAAGGAAACGTTGCATGGATCGATCCACAAAGACATCAGAACTTTTTTGCTTTCTCTGCATTTAAACATTAAATAAAATTACAAGGAAAATGAACTGGGAAATATATGTGCTAAAAATAGAAGAGATGGGCTTTATCTTCCACATGTCTAGAGCTTCCACAAACCAATGAGAACGATACCACCCAAGCCAGCAGGGCCCACACTTGCAGCTGGAGACTGTTCAAGGGATTTCCAAATTTGAATTGAAATAATTACACTGCCTTTCACAGCAAAACATCTTTCAAAACTGTGAGGACAGGAGATCAAGTGTCATTTTAGTTTCTCTCCTTGGGCTTCTTTTTTGGGTAGGAGTATCCATCTTTTCAGTTGAAAGGATATTGACCATCTGAGTTTTTTATAATTTAACCCCACCTCTTCTTAGAGTCTGATACCATTCACTGGGATTAACACCAGCCATAGTAGGACACGATCCAGTGTGAACGTTCTGACAGAGAGCAAGTGTTAATGTCCACCTCAAGGTGTCTGACGGGGCCACTGTCCTCCGTCTGTGCCTAAGTAACTCTCATTCCTCCAGCAGGCCTCTGAGCAGGACTGATTCCATAATCTTGTTGGATTATTCCATGGGGCAGTTCCACTGGTGATGTCAATATTAAGTGGTCCTCTGTGACCTTCAAGGATAAGTAAGAGGTTGACTTCTTCTAAGAGGAATTCTGTGGTGAAACATGTACAGGTGAAAATGTGATATTGTCTGTATTTTCTTGAATAGATTTGTAAGCCTTATGGACAATCCTCTTGATAATACCCAGTGTCAAGATGGCGTTGAAGTGATGGAAAGTGAACGAGATCGTCAATGCTTTGATAAAGAATTTTTGAAAGCCTATCTTGAAGATGTTAAAGAAAGAGGTACACTAATCATATTTAAAATTATTTTAGGGGTGTCTGGGTGGCTCAGTTGGTTAAGCATCCAACTTTTGATTTTTGTTCAGATCTTGGGGTCATGACCTTGGGGTTCTGATATCAAGCCCTGCAATTGGGCTCCGTGCTCAGGGCAGAGTCTGCTTATCTCTCTTTCTCTGCCCCTCTCCTGGCTCTCTCTCTCTCAAATACATACATACATACATACATACATAAGATCTTAAAAAAAATAAAATTTATTTAAATGAGTATATGGAATTCCATGTACTCAAGCAACATGAACCCATAATGCTAAAAAGTTAGTTGGTTAATTGGTTATTTTTCCACGTACCATATATATTTATAGAAATTATATATTTATATAATTTATAATATTTATATAATTACATATTATATGTAAACTTATATTATATATATATTATACACACATAATTTTTTCTTTAAATATCAAATTTTTTCTAGTATACTTGAATACTTGATACATCATCAACTATTTGACAGAGAGGCCTGGAAACATACACTTGAGACGTTGCCTTACTAACTATACATGAGTTTTTAACAAAATGGCATTGACCAAAGAGTATCTCAGTTAATGGGAAAATAAGATTCCATTTCAAAATCCATTTAAATTCAACTTTAGAAAAAGGTGTTTCTTATATAAATCAAGGTCCACTTGTATGAAAAATCACCGAAGGAAAAAAAGGTGGCAGACTAGTACCTAGATCCCTTTAGCTTTGGTTTTCCGCAGGGTGGTGATAATACGGAGGAGCACGGGGAGGTCACAGGACTCAGGAAAGGGTGGGAAGCGATTTCCCCAGGGGCTGTTTCCAAAGCGTTCTAGAAGGTAGAAGCCCTTCCTTCTGCTGCAAGCACACAAACACAGGAAGAAGGCATAAGTCACCCTTTGTTCTTCTAATCACCACCTCCTTCCTTGGTCTGGTTGCCCATTCATAGACTAAGGATGATTGGTCACATTCAGATATTCAGGGGTTTCATGAGAGGAATGAAAAATACCATTTATTTGGCAGATTAAAAATTTTTTTTCAAGTAAATTATTAAATCTCTCTGCAGTTACCTCTAATCTATTTGGCTATCCCCAATCTTGAAAGCTGAAATAGTGTGAAATAAACGAGAAATTTATACAAAACATGAAACAAATAGCGGAACCATTTATTTTGTCAAAATTTTTTTTTGGGTTGCACAAGTTTCCTCTTGTGAAAACCTTTATTGTTGTATTTTATAGATTTATTCATAATTACATTTTTGAGTTATTGTTTAAAAATACAAGAAAGAATTAGAGAAAATAGGTAGTTAGCTTTGGATCTGTTGGTCAGTGATAAAATAATTTGCTTTGTAAGGTTAACTTTAGTGATAATAGCTTTTTTTTAAAAATATTTTATTTATTTATTTGAGAGAGAGAGAGAGAGACAGTGAGAGAGAGCATGAGCGAGGAGAAGGTCAGAGGGAGAAGCAGACTCCCCATGGAGCTGGGAGCCTGATGCGGGACTTGATCCCAGGACTCCAGGATCATGACCTGAGCTGAAGGCAGTCGCTTAACCAACTGAGCCACCCAGGCGCCCAGTGATAATAGCTTTTGAATTTATTCACTTATTTCTAAATAATTGTAATTCTGTCTTCCATATATTCATATTGGTTCATATGATATTGCCAATACTCAGCTGGTTTTTTATTTTTATTTTATTTTATTTTATTTTATTTTATTTTATTTTATTTTATTTCTTTTCAATGTACTCAGCTGGTTTTAACAAGAATCCATAGCTAAGGGGAAAAAAAAGTAGCTTTAGTGAGTTACGTTGACCTCCAAACTCATGTGATACAAGAATGGTGAGCAAGTGAAACCCTTTGCTGGTCCTCAAGCATTAGTGACCCTAAGAATCACTTGCAGGCCCCACCCTCAGAGATTTTGACTCAGCAGCTCTGGGGTAGGACCAAGAATGTGCATTTCTAACAAGGTCCTGGGTGATGTTGGTGCCTTGGGTCTGGGAGCCTCACCTTGAGAGCCATTGGTATAGACCATCCTTTGACAAAATTTGGCTATCAAGGGAGAGTGGGCAGTAACCAGTGGGAAGAGCAAGACTGAGTAAAAGGGTACTTACTAAGATCATGCTTAGTTTAGGAATAGTGAAAACTTTGCTTATAAACCTTTTTCCCTTCCACCTGGGGTCTTACCTGCTGTCTCAGGTCCTTGGCCATCTATTTCTGTTTTAGTCAATTTTTATTATTTTTAGGGTTATATAGTTTCTCAGATTCTGATGTAGCTGTGTCAGTTTGTTGGAAAGATTGCAAAAGAATGAGGGTTAATAATTCTATCTTAGATCTAAATATTTATTTTTTTTAAGATTTTATTTATTTGACAGACAGAGATCACAAGTAGACAGAGAGGCAGGCAGAGAGAGAGGGGGGGAAGCAGGCTCCCTGCCGAGCAGAGAGCCCGATGCAGGGCTCGATCCCTGGATCCTGGGATCATGATCTGAGCTGAAGGCAGAGGCTTTAACCCACTGAGCCACCCAGGTGCCCCCCCACTTTTAAAAAAGATTTTATTTATTTACTTGATTGAGAGAGTGGGATAGCACAAGTAGGGGGAACAGTAGAGCAAGAGGGAGAAGCAGGCTCCCCGCTGAGCAGTGAGCCCGACTCAGGGCTTGATCCCTGGACCCTGGGACCATGATCTGATGACCCCAGGTGCCCCAGATCTAAATATTTCTAAAGCATGACTAAACATTTGTGAAAGCTGACTTAATGGTGATAGATAAATCCATTCACCTCCATACTTTAACCTGGGAAGGATAGTAATTTGTTGGTTAACATGAGCAATGGTTTGTAGCTAAGCTACATTTTGTGGTAAAATGGGGAATGGTTGAGTATCTTTGTTTCTTTTGTTGCAGAATCTGTTCCCAGCTATACCACCAAAGTATCTTTTAGCCTTCAGCTTTGATACCATCCACTAGAAGACTGCAGAATCTCCCTGTACTGCCAAGCTATAAATCTTGGTGTCTTGGAATAATGGTTTGCGCTTAAGGACAAAGTCTAGAAACCACAGTCCTAGTTAGGAAAAATGATTTTCAGATTTCACATTTGTGAATACTTCTCCAGTGGACTGGAGAATTGATAAGTGGGTTTATATATGAAGGTTCATTTACATAAACTTTTCCCCAAATAACGCACGTTTAATATTTTAGAAAATGTGTTATTTTTTAAAATTAAAACCTAGAGACCAAAATCTGAAGTTGATTGCACTGTTTTTAGGAATCCAGGGATAAAGGGGTTGTAAAAAGAGCATTTATATGGGACTAGCCAAATGAGATTTTATTTTATTTTGAAAGAGTTTTAATGAATTATTTATTTTGCTGAGAAAAGCTTCCCTTGGGTTAATACAAACTGCTATTTTATATGTTTTAATTGTATTTTCTAAGTGTAGGGTCTTAGGAAAGACTTTAGGTATAATTTGGGCATTGAAGGTAGAAAGAAGGGCTGGATTGTCTGCTCATGTATTGGGCACAGGACACTCAGATGGTGTGCTGGTGGTCCTCACAGAGGCATTGTGGTCCTGGCTGGTCCTGGGAAGACTTACATGATCTACATAGATGGTCCTGAGTGGGTACTTCATGGGTCTCAGGACTCACCTTAGAACAGGGAGCAGAGGCAGTACCCTCAGGGACCCCTCCTCCAAGGTGGCTGTGCAAGGTAGCAGGGATGACTAGTCTGTACCAGTGAGGACGCCCTAGCAAAGCTTCCTGACAGATGCCACAGGAGAACTCTCCCAGGCCATCATGCTGCAGCCCACAGGGAGCTCATGAGACTGTTTTTTGTTGGCAAAGATGGGAGTCATGATAGGGTTTTGGACTCCTATGTCATATCATCTGATTTGGAGAGAAATTGTACAAATATTTATTTTTATACCACTGTTTTAGGCTAGAGGAAACAGGATTGTAAGTTGAAGATAAGTTTTAACAAACAGCTTCTGTGATTAAGAAAGAAAAAGTGCATATATTCACGTTTATTCCTATATGAATTGACTCCTACATGGTCTAATTCAGTGCCATCCAGTAGAATTTTCTGCAGTGATGGAAATGTTCTGTATCTGCGCTGTCCAAATGTAGTGACCACCAGACACACATGCTTTTTGACTACTTGAATAATGACTGATATAACTGAAGAACTTTTAATTAATTAAGGATTTTTAATTAAATTTAAATTTGGATTGCCACAGGGGGGTGCCATATTGGACACATAAGTCCAGACAGTTGGGTTTTTGGGGAAGAAACGAAGGGTGATTTTTTTTTTATCTGAACAACAATCTGTCCCCAAAGGGGTCACTATTGACACCCTCCATATTTTGTCTTGGTAGATTTAATCATAATTCCTAGTGTTTTATCCTCAACAGATGCAAACCAAGCAGAGCACTCTAAAACCATATGGTAATGCTTCAGCAGAGGATTGCCTCAAGTTAAAAACAAACTCTGAGAAGTAGGTTAAGAGATGAAAAGAGTAGGAAAATGAGAAATCACTGCAACTGAACCTCAAACAATAGTATTCTTCTTTTAAGTCTTCAAAATTGGCGTTGAAATTTATTAGTTGTATTACTTAAATGATTTTGAAATTTCATTTCATGCCAAGGTATACATTATGTTTAGCCAAATGGAAAATGAATCTTAAAAAGGGGCAAATAGGGGCTTTCACATAAGTTGTCCATGACCTATGTAAAATTTATTTCAATAAAACCAGTCTTTTGTGCAAAAACCCTGTATTGGTGCTACATTTCCTTCCTAAACAAAGGAAAAAGTATTGCACCGATACATAATTATTTCATGTCACATAATATCCCATACCCAATATATTATTTGAATATAATGTGTGTAGAGATACTATTTAATTTGTTCATGTATGTGTAAAAATGCAGCAAGATTATAAGGCATCCTAGTGGCAATATCATAGAGTTTTGAAAATTTTACATGATACATAGGGACTGATTCATAATTTGGAAAAGGAATTTCCGTAGTGGGATATATGTATGAGCGTTAAAGCAATATGAATAAAAGGATAAAATGTAATTCCTAGGAGAAAAAGGTTCTGGTCCCCAAAGCTTATTATTACACCCGTTTTTCAGATGTCAGACATTGAGGGGCAGAGACATTTAGGTGAAATCATTGAGTAGTGCATTTTAATCACCAGCAAGAACCACACCACATTTCTTGACTGGAGGTTTCTAGAATGACCAAGAAGTGCGCTTGCCAAACACCAGTTTAGAGTAACTTAATGATGATGGCTAACAGTAAGCTGCAGAAATCAGTTACTGTCTTTCCTTCTTTGCCTCCCTCCCTTCCTGCCTCAATGCATCTCTTGAATCTCTCACTACTCCTGAGTGGGAAGGAAACATACTCTGAGGTGCTGTGTTGTGGCGGGTGTAGGTTTACATAATGCTCATTTCCCGAGTCCTGATTCATAGGGACAACACGTTGCCTAGCCTTTCCCACCCTCCTTGTCGGTAGCAGTATGTGTTATCAGAGTAACTTTTGATCATGTAATAACACTTCTTGGAATTTTAAAGAACTTTCCAATTCTTTCCTAAAATTAAAGTTCTTGGCGCTAGTCTTCAGTGAGTTCACAGATCGTTCAACACCTGCTTCCCTTCATGTCCTAATGATCTAAAGTTTGTTCTCTAGTTTGTTTTCCTTATTGATATACTCCAAATCATTCCACACATCCCAGCCTATCTTTGAATACTATAGAGTCTTTCTGGGGATATCTGCAGATGTTTTGCATCTTCCTGTATTTGCCATGTCTTTATTGTGTAAATGTGCATACATGCACGCACATTCCAGTCTGTTCTTGAAGCTGATCAGCCCTAGGACCCCGGCAGCCGGGATAGCAAGGCCAGCTCTTTTACTAACGCACCACATAATCTTGGGAAAATCACTTCGCCTTTTACCCACCTGTAAAATATAGAGTAGCAGAAGACGATTGTTAAGGCTGATTCCATCTTTAACATTTTATCACTTGCCTTCCACTAAGAACCCCTTTTTATATTAATGACTCAGCATTTCCTCCCTACCTCACTGGTCACTCAGCTTCCAGCTCCGTATGGGCGCTGGGCATGCTTGTTCCTTAGGCATGTGTTTGTAACTATCTTGTCTACTATTACATGTTAAGCTTCTGGAGTTTGCTAAATAGGTAGACTGTGCCCAAATATTTGAAAATGAATAGTGAGTCTGTGAAGAACTGACCCACACATTTCTGTTGTGTTCCCAATACTTCCATCTATGCTGAGATGCACAAATATTATTTTTGATATTGCCTCGAAAGAGTTATCATGCATCATAGAAGATTGCATTTTCTATAAATCTAAATCGAAGATACAGTGAGATATCACCTCACATCCTTAGGTGTAGCTATTATTAAAAACCAAAACCAAAACAAAAAAAAAAATAAATCCCAGAAAATAATTGGTGAGGATATGGAGAAATTGGAACCCTTGTCCCTGTTGGTGGGAATGTAAGATGATGCAATTGCTATGGAAAATAGCATGGCAGTTCCTCCGAAAATTTAAAGTAGAATCAACAATTCCACGTCTGAGTATTCTGAAAGCAGGGTCTCAAAGAGCTTTTGACACCCATGTTCCTAGCACTGCTAGTCACAATGGCCAAGAGCTGGAAGCCTCCCAGATGTCTACAGGTGGGTAGACAAAATATGATATATAAATATCATGGAATGTTATTCAGCCTTCAAAAGGAAGGAAATCCCGTCACATGCTAAAACATGAATGAAACTTGAGGACATTATGCTAAGTGATATAAACTAGTGACAAGAAGACAAATATTGTATGAGTCCACCTCTATGAGGTCCTCAGGGTAGTCCTATTCATAGAGAAAGAAGAGTGGGCATTAGTAGGGACAAGGGGGAGGGAGAAAATGTGAGTTGTTTAATGAGGATAAAGTTTCAATTCTGAAAATGAAAAAGTCAGTGAAAAGTCAGTGAGATGACTTTCCAGATGGTGTATGTTTATTTAATTACACATTGTGTCACAATACCATTCTACTAGTACAATAACGCTTGTTATAAACCATGCAACAAGGAATAGTAAAGTCCAAAGAAACGAACCAGAGTTTGAAGGCTGTCTCCCCCATGTGGGAACTGCCCAGCCCTGAACTGCGTGGACCCTGCTTCGGAGAACACTGTTTTGAGACCCAGGCTTTTAGCCCAGTGAAAACACTGCAAGTGCCTCCACCTGCTGACCTCCCCGGGTCTGTGCAAGCTTCTCTGGGGAGAGAGGATCCACAGGTCTCATGAGATTTCCAAATGGTTCTATGAGCCATAAAGGCTTCGGTCTCAGTTCTCCAGAGAATGAGCAGAATTTCAGCATCCCTTAGGCAAGATAGAATTGAATTGAAATTAACATTAACCCTTAAAAAAAATCACATGAAATCAACCATTTAAAATGAACAATTCAGTGGTGTTTACTGCATTCACTGTGTTGTACAACGACCCCCTCTGTCTCGTGCCAAACATTTTCATCACCACATACCTTCTGTCCCCCAAAAGCCCCATACAGATTAATCCCTTTCCCCACAGCCCCTGGCAGTCACCACGCTACTTCCTGTCTCTGGATTTACCTCTTCTGGGTATTTCCTATCCCTGGGATCATACTACATGACTTTGACCTTGGCATCATGTGGAGGTCCACTGAATGGTCTCTACGATAATCACCACGACAATAATCAGAATGAAAAAACAGCAGCAAACATTCAAGTTCTTGCACCTGGGATTCGGGGCTGTGTGGGGATAGAGCACCTCGTTACGGGTACTGACGTGGATTCTCGTCTCCACATGGTGTTGCGTGTTTGCTCTCGGGCTCCAGTGGGTGGGGAAGATTGCAGCCTCCCTGGACTCAGGATGCCAGGGTTGGGGTAAAGCCTTTCCTTTGTTTGCCATGGCGTTCCACTTCTCTATGTCCACTGTGGAGTTCCCCCTCACTGGGTCCGCGGTGATGATGTCCCTCTTCACTGTGTCCGAGGTGATGTTCCCCCTCACTGCGTTGGCGGTGATGTTCCTCCTCACTGCGTCTGCGGTTATGTTCCCCCTCACTGCGT